ACATAAATCCAACACTTCATTTTACAGAAACGGCCGAGATTTTTTAATCCGAAAGTTTGAAAAATGTGACACTTTTTTTGCGAATTTACTCATAAAAAGTTGTATACCTATTCCTACCGTAGAGGGTAGTGTTCCCAAAACCAATTTTTTCCGGACGAAACTTGAAAAAATATGGCCAAAAGGTGTTTTTTCCCTCTGACCGCTCTCCACATTTTGCGCATTCTCTCGGCCGCGAAGATCGTTCAATATCTCTTGGCCTGGAAGAATTTCTCTTGTTGCGATTTTCGATCCGAAAGAGTCCTCATTATTTTCCCGACAGGCTGATATTTCAACAATCAACAAGCGATCATATATTTTATGGTAATTTTCGCACCGTCCGAACAAAAAGAAGCACCTCATTATTATGGCCCACATAATCTTCCGCGTCCTTCTCCTTTTTCCACAAAATTCCGAAAAATTTTGACACCAATCGATTTTTTGGGCCATTGAATTTCGGATATTTTTTTGGAAATCGCTCCTCAAAAGGGGGATTTGTCGATGGTTTCGGGCCGGGCCCAGCCCTCGTCAAGTTCGGCCCAGGCTTTGAAAATTTTCGAGATTTTCAAAGCCTGTCCCGGCCCTTGAAGATCTATGGTACGGCCTGGATGGGCCCCCTATAAAAGTTATATATGACTTTTTTTTGTAGGGTAATTTTGAATGGCAATTTTCCCGCCATTTTGGCAATGTTTTGGCATTGTGTTTTTTTGTATCTCAGTGGGCCATTTGGAAATTAAAAATTATAATAAGTAATATCTTTGTGATTTTTGTAGAAAGAAAATTATTTTTTTGTAGAAAGATTAAGATTACAGTTGAAACAGAATGCCAATTTTTAAATTTGAAAATCGCGAAATAAATTTTTTAAATTTGCCAATTTTTGGTCTAAAAATCTCAATGATTTGTGCAAAGTGTGCTAAAAATACTGTATATGCCTAAAAAAATTGTAATCTAGAGTTGTTCCAATTTTCATCAAAATCAAAAAAATTTCAAAATTTCGAATTTTTTTCAAAAATTTTACGGTTTTCTTATTTGCAATGAAATGCAGCAACTATTTTTAACCGTATTTTACCCCTCTCGACCACCCACATAGCTATTTTTTTATTTTTTTCCTTTTACTTTTTGATAGTAACTTACCCCTAAATCAATGTAATTTATCGCCCATTTTGGTCGCAAAAACACTCTTCAGAAGTCCTTTGGGAGAAGAGGAGTTAATTTATGAAAAAAACATCGCTCCCATCGCCCGAAAAAAGGTGAGTAAATGGCTCATAAATCTTGGAAAACTCTTTTAAAAGGATCGCACCGTGCATTACATTAATCGATTTTTTGGGGTTTCAGGGCCGAATACTGGCAAGTGAATGCTTTGGAATTGTAGTAGACTCTTTTAGCAAGCCAGTCTATTGATTTTGAGTCGGATTTTTGAAGGATGCAAAAGTTATGCAACAAAAATTACAACCACCTGAGAACAACGCCAAGAGTTTCCGCGCGTTTTACAGCCCTTTCACAGGCTTGTAAATTAGTCTGTGATGTTTTTCATGACTCTATATGGCCTGGGAATTTTTTTTTCACACATTATTTTGCACTTTGAAATCAATTTTTTATTGCACTGTGCAATAAAGAAAAGTTGTGTTTTGCACAGTGCAGAAGTGAAAATTTACAGAAGTTTTGGCGAGAAAATTTGCCCAGTCCGTTTTTTACTCTGCGTCTTCCAAAGTTTTTTATAATTTACCCCTTTGCACCGTGCAATCGCTCAAAAATTTCTTTGCACCGTGCGGCCGGAAAAATTGGTTACTGCACTGTGCGTAAAGACGGGTTTGCGAATTTATTGGACAGAAAATTTGCCCAGTCATTGTTCAGACCAGCTACCTTTAATTTCTTCGTTTTTTCATCTTTCTGCATTGTGCAATGGCTGAAAAACTTCTGTGCACTGTGCAAATTTTTAGATAAGCACTTGCACTGTGCAAGACTGGTCGGTTTAGGTAATTTTGGGTCTCATAAAAAATACATACATGTATATATCCGTATTTTACATTTTTCAGATTTAACATGCCCTTTGCACTGTGCAATCATCATATTTTTCGACCGCACAGTGCAATTCGCCAAAACCGCCATTGCACTGTGCAAGACCGTTCGGTGTAGGTAATTTTGGATCCAATAAATAATAAACCATGTTTTCTTCCGTATTTTACATTTTCTCGATTCAACATGCCCTTTGCACTGTGCAATCATCATATTTTTCGGCCGCACAGTGCGGTTCCTCAAAATCCCCCTTGCACTGTGCGACCATTAAATTTTCCAAAATTTATAGCCTAAAGATCTCTCTGATCTAAATCAAAGCCTTCACTCCACTCAAACGGCTTGTCCTTATTGACTGGCCATAGATTTTGGGTTTCTTTTGAGTCAGAAGCATCGGTTACCGAATGACTCATATAGATCCATTTCTCTGTTCGAAAAGGCCACGAACAGTTCTTTTTTGGGTTGGAAATTCCTTTCGCTCGGTCCAACAGACGCTACATGCTTTGTTATTGTAATCAGTTTGCATGATTTTTGGAGGGTTTTGGCAGTTTTTCAGATTTTTGGCAGAATTGTAAGGGGTCATGTTTTGGTCTATTTTTGGTCGATACAGAGAATTTTTTTCGAAAATTTTTTGATTGTATCCGAACGCATAGGACCCGTAATGTCTACCAAATTCAGTTTTATTTCCGAGGCGCCTTAATTTTTGATGTAAAATACGACTTTTTTAAATTCTGGGGGATTACGTTTTTATTGAAATTTTTGTCAATTTTCGATAAAAAATGCAATAAAAGTTTTTACGTCAGCGTTCTTAAAACAATTCCTACAGTGTCTTCTAAAGTTCCAAGTTGTAAATTCCGTATTTTACCCTATGAATTTTCCTGTATCATCATTTCTTCCTTTCAAACCCCAAATTTTCCCCATTTTCTGCAATTTTTTCGAATTTTCTCAAATTTTTCTATTAAAATTTTCTTTCAAAAACCCGCTAGGACTTCCTTAACGCTATTACAGACCTGCTAGACCAACAACATCCAAGAGAAACTTCGAAAATCCCCAAATCTTCACCCTTGTTTCTGCTCATGGCTTTCAAACCAAGTCATCATAAATAAAACCACGCCAACGGAACTTTCTTTACCACAACTGGCTTGCAAATTTTCCTCGAGGTAATATCACACCAGTGCCAATATTTACGCGAGTTACGTGAGCAATGTTTTCAAATCTTGCCTTTGTTTTAACGGAAACAAAGATTTGTGATGACGTAAGGGTAAGAGTTGGGGAAACATGCAAATTTTACGGTTCATGTTGACTAAAAAAATTTTGGAGAGCCTACTATTGCTGGCACAAGTTAATTTTGCAAAATTTCTTGGTTTCGAGGTTTACAACACGTATATGAAATGCGTATTTTACTGTGAAAATTTGGTATTTTATACTCAAAAAGAATTTAAATTGAAAAAACTCACTTTCAGCGCTCTACAGACCCTCATTTTCAATTTTTCGTCAAGATTTTGCCATATTTGGAGAATTTCCGGGTCCCACCACGAAAACCCTGAATCTCAAGTGACCCTCGTTTGGACTAAAAATAGTGACTTTTGGTGGAAGAATTGACCTAAAAAGATACTATAAAACTTTTTTTAGTAACTTTTGTTACCTATTCTATCCAATACGACATCAAAATCTTCTACAATATCAGCTTCTGTAACACAATCTTTACATTACCCTTTATCCTATTCATCTCCCTTTATCCTCTTTGTCCCACAGCGTTCACAGGTTGTAAATTAGGACGTAACCACCGGATCGCATCATCCGCAATAACATTTGTCCAGTGTTTATCGTATAATTTTTTGGCTCCGCCCCCTCCGCAACAGGGTGCCATCACTCCTCTCGGGGTGGAGTAAATAATTCGGGGTTTGGGTTGGGAGGTCATTGGAACCGCAAACATTTATCTTCCAAAGTTCATTACAGCGGAAGTGGCGGGTATTTAGCGGGTACTCCGATCAAGTATAATATAAAAAAGTTGCTCTAGTATCGACCGGTCAGTAATTTTTTTGCTAGAAAAAAGCTTTTGAGAGACTTTGTCATACTGTATTTCGCCTGTATGGAATATAAATTTTACAAAAATGCCTTTATAATCAACTTTTGGACCTTATTTTACCTACCTTCCTCATTTCCAGCCCTTTTTTATGGTAATTGTCCCCAAAAAATGCGCCCCAACCACGAAGAAATAACCTTTTACAAGATTGATTTGCATAAGTTAACTCGGGGATGAGTCAAATCTTGAGAAAGGTGGCGAGAAGGACAAGACTCTCGCTGTTCCTTTCTGTTTTTGTAGGTTTACATGAGGGAAATCGAAAAGTTTGGGCTTTAATCGAAACGCGTAGGGAAATTGTTCTGTACATTTCGCAGAAAGGGTGTCTTCTTTGTTATGCAGATGTTTTTAATGAGATTTACTCAAAATTTGATTAAAATTTTGAGATTTTACTAAAAAATTACTTTGATATCAAGGTGAATATAACTAATGTCCGATAATGCAAAATATGGTCTACAAATTATTATAAACTTTTGTTCACATGTTTATGATAGCATTCCTTTACCCAATCGTTGACAAAAATGACTGGTTTACTGTCAAGTCAATTAGTTGAGATTTCCTCGGGCGCAATTCGCGGACTTTTTGCCAAGACTTGCGGAAACCATTTTTTTCCTAATTTTACCTTGTTTTACCTTTTTTTTCTTGGGTTTTCTCGTCCATTTCCGTGTTTTTACATCGATTTTGCATTGATTTACATGAGAAATACGTTTTCCCATCGATTTATGTTATCTTACCTCCATTTTTATTCATTTTCACACTTTTGCAGCCGGTGCAATACCCAAAATTGTTTATTTACGGGTTTTCTACACTCCTTTGCACTCTAAGTGCCAATCTACATAGTCAAGCGCTAGAACAGCCAGCACGGATCATGTTCTGGCTGCTGCTTCTCCTTCCTTCCGTGATTGGCGCCAGTCTTTGTGGTGAATGTCTGAACGGAGGCGAATGTCTTCAAAATCGAACGGATCCATCGCAATTCTATTGTCGGTGAGTTCCTTTTTCTTGTTTTGTTTGATTTTCAGGGTGATCTATCCGAACTGACATCGGATTTGGGGTTAATTTTGCGGTAAATAAAAATTTTGATGGTTATGGTAGTATAGAGTAAATTTCGACGTGAAATTGGAATTGATTATGGGTGATTTTGTGCGTAAATGGTAGCTGGTGGCATGACCTTTGATTTGAAAGTAACTGCCGAGCAGTTTCGTTTTCTTATCATGCAGAATTTTTGATTTTTTGGACCAGACACCTGAAATTTATATTTTAGGTAAAATGAAGATTATTTGTGGTTGTATCTGCTCATATTTTTGAACAAATAGCTTGTGGATAAAGCTCTGACTGTTTCTTTAACAAAAATGGTGTTTTTCTTTGCGATGCTATGTTGTTTTAGCCAAAAGGATGGGTAATGTCAAAACTGTTGCTAAACCTATAAACTGATGGCTTGATTAAGTAAAATAAGGACTAAATAGCAGGGAATACACCTTTTATAACGTGTTGATTAGAATTTATGTTTGTTTGGCAAAGTTTTTATATTACACTAGGCGCAAACCCAAGAAAATCCAATAACCTTCCCAAGTCGGATCCTATATCCCATGAAACAGTAAATTATCGGATGGGCATGGATATTGCGGGCTTAATCCGACCGTTTTGTTGCGCTTTCGATAATTTATGGGCCCTTTTATGTTGATGTTTCTCAGATTAGCGGTTCCTCTTTATAGGAATTTTATAAGAGACTTCCGATTAATCCGATCGTAGAAGTATACTTTTATGGCCATTACAAGCGATTTTGATGGTATTTGCTGAAGTTTTAGATTATTTTTTTATTAAGGTAGCTTGTGTAATGTCAGGAAGTACAAAAAAGTGAAGGTAAAATACGGTGTTGACGTTTATTCCGTGAATATTAGTTCAGAAATTAAAGTAAATTGGAGATTTCTTTAGTAAATATCAGATGACGGCCAAACCAACCTAAAATAAGGTGAAATGAAGAAGGAACGAAAGAAAACAAATTAAAGCCCAATTGAGCCATCTTTTTATGGCAACAGGTGATTGCGCAACAGAGAGGAGTCCGACTCGTTCCCAGCACACTAAAATTCTTTGCGCCAATTTTAATGGGCCCGAAATGAATCGTCGCGCGAATTGATAAAAAATTCATGGCTTTCCCATGTTGATAATGACAAATTAATTGGGGTAATGGAATGAAATTAATGGACTGGAAGGATTTGACAAGTTTAAGATGAGTTTTGAATGAATCTTTGGTTGTTTTTGGTTCTTTACTGACTCGTTTTGAACCCATAGGGGAGTCATCAAATCAGTATTTGATGGCTTCCCTGAGGGCTTCATTAAGGGTAAGTTAAGATCTGACAACACTGAAGATTCATTCAAAAAGGTCCAGGTGTCGCTGTGATTGTCATAGAACGGTGTGAAAGCCTATGAGCAATACAGCATGAAACCCTTCTTCCCGTCAACACAGGATTTGACCCTCAGGCAATAATTTTGCCACTGAAAAATCGATTTTTCCCCTGACATTGATGATTGAGGACTTTTGAGTTTGTTTCATTTAGGAGAGTATATTGGTTTAGACAAACTTTACCTTTCGGCATGCCGAAAATGATTTGTTCAAACGATTAGGCACTCGTTTTTTTGTTTGCAAAGTCCGAAAATTTGCGCTTGCAAGGAAGAAAGGAAATAAGTTTATGACCGGATATATTTTGGAGGAATCTCAAATCTCACGATACATGATTTAAGTTTGGGTAAAATACGTTTCCATGTGTTATTCTTTCATAAATTCCCGATTTCGTCGGTCATGATAGTATCAGAAATTTTCCTGTCTTGCAAAATGCGTACGTTACCCAAGGTATTCTCACGCAACAGCCACTTTTCCACTAATCTTACCCTTGTGAACTGCCCATCTTTTTATTGAATTACCGCAATTGGCCTTGCAACGAGCCGCATTGCCGGCTTAATTGGCGGCGAAATGGCTCTTTGTCCCGGGCTATGGGCGTTTAGGCGATTAGAATTTAAGTGGATTAACAAGAAAAATGATCTTTTTCTAGGCATGAGAAAGCGAAAATAGCAAAGATATTGAGCCAAAAAATCATATACTATGGTAATATAGAATAGAGAAGAGATTGAGTAAAGGAAGATGGACGGTAATTACCGCCCATGGCGACATTATTTTGGACAACCTTGAACCAAAATAATGTCGTTTTTTGGTGGCGTAATCGCTTGACAGCAGGAAGTGTGGCGAAAAATGATTGGCAGAGCAATGAATGCCTGATATGATGCGATTATGTCATGGCTTTAAGGTGTTAAAAGTGTAAAGATACCCAAAATATTGAGGATTAGGTGATGTAATTTGATAAAAACAGCTAAAACATTGAGGAAACAAGTGGGATGGGGCTGAAAATGAAGATAATGCAACGTGATGCAACTGACAAGCGATGGAGATGGGTTAAAATGGGGTGGAATAATGTGAAATTCAGCGAAAAATAGTTATAATTACTGCCTAAAGTGTTAGGTCGTCCAGAAAGTTCGTTCGTTTTTTTCATTGCTTTGTTTTACGAGGATCGTTTGTTGTTTGGCAAAGCATATATATTTATTTTATACAGCCAGTTTTGTAGAGTAGAAAAGGCTGTATCAAATAAATATATTCCATTTGCCAAAGAACAAACAATCCTTGTAAAACAAAGCAAAGAAAAAACGAACGAACTTTCTGGACGACCTAATAATACAATTTTTGTCAATTTTGACGACAATTTTAAGAAAAAATTCTTCCAGATGTCCCATTGGGTACTTTGGAGAGCAATGTGAAGTGTTGGATTACTGCAAGAACTCTGGATTCACCTCTCCCGGCATCAACCCATGCGCCAATGGGGGAGAGTGCAAAAATGTTACTGGCGGCTTTGAATGCAAGTGCATGGATGTGTTCAAAGGTAATCTATAGCGAGTATGATCTCTAGAAAGTAGTAGGATAGTATTTGAACGTTTTGGAAGATCAGAAAATACAGTTCTGACCTCATTTTAGGTTCAAAATCATTGATTTTGGCGTAAAGTTCTATTTTTTTCGAGTTCCAGGTCACAGATGCGAAGAGGACGTGGATGAATGCGAGAATGAGAATGTATGTCTGAATGATGGTGTTTGTGAGAATCGTCACGGCTCTTTTCGTTGCATTTGCCCCAATGGTTTGACCGGGAAACACTGTGAAATTAATATTGACGATTGTGCCGAAAATCCATGTCAAAATGGAGCCAAATGTATTGACGGAGTTGACACATTTACTTGTGAATGCCCCAAGGGATATATTGGTGAGTTTTGGGGAGTTTTTGAGGGGGAAATTTTGAGATTTTGGGGAAATTTTGGAATTTTTGCCTTGATTTTGATTTTTTGATATTGAAATGAGAATTTTGGCATCTATGATGACTGTAGACTAATCTGTAGGTAATTTGAGGGATTATTACCTAAGGGGGTGTTCAAATTTCTAAAAATTTTTGAGTTTTTTGGCCGAAATTTTAGATTTTTTGCGATTTTTTTGGATTTTTTGCAAATTTTTGGGGAAAAAGTTACAGTATGACTGTCACATCCCCTAAAATGACTCACCACACAATTTCAGGCCAGACCTGCGACCGGCTGGACGAGTGCTTCCACAACAATCCATGCGTCAACGGGAATTGCACCTTGAATTCGAAGGGACTCCCCCGCTGCGAATGCGGCAACGAATTCACCGGCGACCACTGCGAAACCGACGTCGACGAATGCCTCTGGAACCCGTGCGGCGGACGAGGACAGTGTCAGAATACGCTCGGCTCGTTCAAGTGCCATTGTTTCGCCGGCTTCGAGGGAGAGCGATGCGATAAGGACATTGACTACTGCAGGGTGGAAAGATGTGTGAATGGAGGCAGTTGCATCAGTCAGAAGCACGGATACCTCTGCAGTTGTGTTGTGGGTAAGTGGGTTTTTGGGGTGTTGTGGGATTTGGAGGAGTTTTTAAACTTTTAAAAAAGGTTTGATGGGATTGGTAGGGCGCAGCCTGCGGATTTTAAAAAGCTTGAAAATGGAGCCCAAAAAATTGAAGAAAGTTTTGTTGGACTCTATATGGTATTTTCTGTAGTTTAGAACCAGTTTTGTCGTATTTTACGGAGATTTTGATGAAGCCTGGGCGCAGCTCGCCAAGTAAAAAAATTGGAATAAGTTGAATTTTTGGGTTTTTTGAAGTTTAAAACGGATTTTAAAGAGATATAAAATGGATTTGGGGAAGATTTGAAATATTTTTTTATTTTTTAGTCTAGGGCGCAGTTCGCGAAAATTATTTTTTTTTGAATTTTCAAAGTATGATGCTTTGGTTGTTTCAGGTTTCTCAGGAACGCACTGTGAACACAGAGACGACCAAAATTGCAAACTCCCATGTGAAAACGGAGGCCGCTGCCACAACGAAACTCATTGCGAATGCCCCAACAGCTTCAAAGGCCAATTCTGTGAAATTGAGAAGCCGGATCCATGTGGCGGCAACCCATGTGTCAACGGAGGAGTCTGTCTGAACAATCGGGACTATAAGTAAGTCGAATTTGCGGTTTGGGTTACTGTAATTTTAGATTTTTTGAAAAATTGTAACTTTTTTTGGATTACTGTAATTTTTTGACTAATTTTGGAAAATTTTCAGCGATTTTGTATGTCGATGCCCTAAGGGCTTTAGCGGAAAATTCTGCGAGTTCAAGAATTGCAATGGAGATCAGGAGTGCGAGATGATGCCCTATCATTGCAATGGGGAACAGTGTCTGAATGGAGGAACTTGCATCAATTTGCAAACCGGTTTCAAGTAAGATTTGATGTATTAGAGAGTATTGGGTCTATTGAAAGGGTTTGTGTTTGTTTTTGGACAATGAAATTGGGAGAAATTGGATTTTTATTAGATTTTTGAGAAAGAAGTGCTTTTTTTATGAAGAAATGTCTCAAATTTTGCAAAAAAGTTGTTGGAATGGCTCTGATTTGAAGATTATGGAGTGTAAGAGGATTTTTGATATTAGACTTTGGTCGAAAGTTTTTGAAAATGCGATGATAGAAGCTTTCCTTGTCAAATTTTGACAAAAAACTCTCTAAATCATCGCATTTTCAAAAATTTTCGACCAAAGTCTAATATCCCAAATCTTCTTGTACCCTATACGCCTCAAATTCGAGCCATTCCAGCAACTTTTTTGCAAAATTTGGGACATTTCTTCATAAAAAAAGCACTTTTTTCTCAAAAATCTAATAAAAATCCAATTTCTCCCAATTTAATTGTCCAAAAACAAACACAAAAATTTTTGAAAAATGGCTGGAATTCGAAATAATCGTTCCGTATTTTAGATGTCACTGCCAAGACGGATTCCTCGGTCATCGTTGCGAACTCCAGAACTCAACTTCGGTCAGAATTACCGCCGGCTCCGAGGATTCGGACAAAAAAGGACCAGTTCTGGTATACCTAGTGGGAGACTCGGAATTGGTCCGAAGACATGTTAATGAGATCCTCCATACAATGGAGACCTCGTTGCAAGTGGAAGTGAAATTGGCAAAAGATGGAGACAAAAAACCGATGATCTATGAGTGGGACTCGGCCAATGGACCCGGCCAAAGAATTGATGTGGACTTGAAAGCCGACAGCTATAGTGAGAAGGAAATGGAACAGGGTGGGTTCTGGAGTGTGATTTTTATATTAATTTAGGTTTTGGGGTGTTTTGGAGGGTTTTGAAAATTTGAAAATACACTGCTCCACGAAATGATAGACGCACCCAATTTTTAGCGATTATCTTGCTTATACTGAATGATATCCAAAAATGTTCAACAGACGAAATGTGGCAAATTAAACGAGAATTCATGTCCCGTAGCGATTTCGGAACAAAATTTTGCCTTGACTGAGATATGACGTTTTTAGACTTTTTTGGGGTCCACAGAATGATAGACGCAATTAAGTAATTTTTTGTTTATTTAAAAGAATTTTGAGTCAACCTGCTCTTATTACACTTCCTCGTGTTCTTTGTAGTATTAGTAAGGTAATTACATTTATATCCGCCGTACTTCATCGACGCAGTGGCCTTATGAGCCATTTCCGACCTTGTACATGAGGTAAATATTCGGTTTGAAAAAAAAAATTGATTAACGATTTGGCTTTCGCCAAAAAACCATCTTAAACCATCATAGATTACTAGTAGCAAATATAAGACATAAAATAAACCAATACCGATTCGCTTGAAGTCATTTAATCGACCATTAAGTTACCGTATACCTTCTACATTAACCTTCAAAGGCTCTAAAAGTACAGAAGATTACTATCGATGGCAATTTTTTGCTCAGAAAATCAAACTCAGCATGTTAACAAACCTAAAACCGCAACTTATTGCCTGCTTAAATGTCATGATTATTGACAGATGATTGATTAAAGATAAACGTGTAAAAACAAGCCTATTTTTGGTAACTTTTTTTTGTCAAACGACGTTACCGACCAAATTTATTCTGTAACGGCTGATGATTAAAACATTACGTTTTCAGGCATGCTCAGTTCGAATTTGCAGATTAAACTTTGTCATTCTCTTTATTCGCCTTGGTATTTCGGGGGTCTAAAAGTATTAAGGTAGCTACGTGTTGAAGATGACATGCCAAGAAAATGCTCGGGATCCTTGAGCAAGCCGTTTTTTTTTATCAGTGAGATCTACACGTATAATGTGATAGTATTAGCTAGTTTTTCGCCCAAGAAAACAGCATAACCTACAGTTTTTTCAAACCGAATATTTACCTCATGTACAAGGTCGGAAATGGCTCATAAGGCCACTGCGTCGATGAAGTACGGCGGATATAAATGTAGTTACCTTTCTAATACTACAGAGAACACGAGGAAGTGTAATAAGAGCTGGTTGACTCAAAATTCTTTTAAATAAACCAAAAATTACTTAATTGCGTCTATCATTTTGTGGACCCCCAAAAAGTCGAAAATTGTCATATCTCAGTCAAGACAAAATATTGTTCCAAAATTGCTACGGGACATGATTTCTCGTTTAATTTGTCACATTTCATCTGTTGAACATTATTCGATATCATTTAGTACAAGGAAGATAATCGCTAAAAACAGGGTGCGTCTATCATTTCGTGTAGCAGTGTAGTATTTTTGGAAAAAATTTTTTTTTTAATTTTTTGGAATTTTTGGCAAAATTGCGAATTTTAGGCTAGAGAAAGTTGATAAAGTGTGATTTTTGGGTTCTTGGGGGGTTTAGAAGGGTTTGAAAATTTTAAAGTAGAATTTTTGGAAAAAATTTTTTTAATTTTTTTGGATTTTTTTAACCAAAATTGGGAATTTAGGCATTAGGAAGACCATGTTGGAGATTTCTGATAGGGTTTTGCTTGATTTTTAAAAAATGTTTGTTTTAATTTTTTTTGAAAAATTTAAAATTTTGATTTTTTTTTATTTTTAAGACGTTTAAAGAGGTTTTCAGACCTATTTTTATAGAATTTGTCAACTTATATGCCATAAAAATCTTTAAAATTTCGTTTTTTTTTTTGTTTTTTTTTTTATTTTCCCCGATTTTCAGATAATGTGGTCCGAGGTGTGTTCATGATGCTGAATGTGGACACTACCCACTGCAAGGCCTCGGAAACCCAATGCCCGAAGAATCTGGTCGAAGCCGCCAAAGCGCTGATGAGCCCCACCACCCAGCGCGCCCTCCAACCGCTCGGAATCCACGTGAAAGACGCGGAAGGCCCCCAAAAGCCGGAATCCGCCCAAAAAGGCCTCTGGTTCACGGTGCTGGTGGTCGCCGGACTCTGCTCCCTCCTCATCATATCCGCTGTGAACGTGTTGACCAACCTGAACAAGAATAAAAAGGACCCGTTCACTGGGATGATCAAAAAAGGCTCGCTGATCTATCATGCCAATAGCAAGAGGAATTCCAAGAGCTTTAGCGCCTCAACGTTCATCCCACCAATGGGTAGGTTGATTTTTTGGGTTGGTTTTTTTGGTTTAGAGAGGTGTTGATTCAAAGAATTGATTTTTTAGCTTGTTGCTGGGATGATTTTGATCAAGGGAAAGACTTGACTCGAAAATTCATTTTTTGAGTCAAGTCTTTCTCTCAAAGAAAAATGGGTTTTTAAGCGTGTTGTGGGTATTGAAGATGAGTTTTCGATGAAATTACAGTATGAATGGTCATTTTTGCCGAGAGGAAGACTTGACACATTTTTGAGTCAAGTGTTTTTCTCAATGGAAATGGATAGTTTTTATGGATTTGCAAGTGAAAAGGAGTAAAATAGCGTTAATTATTGCTTTTTCATAGATTTTTATTTAAGTTTAAACCAAAATTTGGCTATGAATTTAAATTTTTTTGAGTTTTGTGAATATTATTGCCTAAAATTCATAATTTTTTCCAGAAAAACCTCTGATCCCAACAGTCCAAGCCTACGACTATCTCCAGAACCCTTCGTATATGCAATTCGGAGGATTTGGCCACCAAAATTACGGCATGATCCCGTCGAATTCGCAGTCGAGCCGCATCGAGAAGCCGAGAATCATCACAGCCGACGAGACGAAATTACTTCCGGAACGCGCAAGCGCCGCCGATGACATCCATCGCTGGGCGATTGAGCCAGGAACGATTAAAAGCTTGCCAGAAGGCGCCCAGATCAACCGTCCGGATCATGTTTGCAGGACGGCGCTTCATTGGGTCGTTGAGATCAAAGAAGAAGCCGAATCCCTGATTGATGTCAACTTTTTGTATCACAAGGGAGCTGATTTGAATGCATTTGATATGGGTGGGTTGGTTTGGAAAGATTTTTTGGGGTTGTCGGAATATTTTGGGAGTTGTGACATTTCGTCAACATAGTATTGATTTTTTTGAAAATGGCATTTTTGAGGTGGGTTGTGGATTGGGAAGGGGGAAAATGGATTTTTGCTTCGTTTTGGGATTTTTGAGTTTGTGACATTTCGTCAACATTTTATTGATTTTTTAAAAATATGGGATTTTTTGAATATTTTTGTAAAATTTGGTTTGTTGATGGAGATAGGAGTAGGTGAAGGTGTTTTTTCATTTTGTGTTGTTTGGAAAATGAAGTTTTTTTCTAGTTTTTAACGCCTTTTTTCAGGCGGAGACACCCCTCTAATGTTGGCCGTCAAAACCTGGCGAAACGAGCTCGTCATGGCACTCCTTGCCCTCGGCGCAGACCCCACACTCGTCAACACCCAAGGCGACACCGCCCTCCATCTGGCCGTGCAGACGGGCAACGAACTGGCGGTTTCGAATCTCCTCAAATGCCCCGATATTGATATTGAGCTGGGAAATGAGGTGGAAGACACCCCACTGAAGCTGTCCGCCAAAGTTGGAGGACCCTTTTATGGCATTGCCAGCAAGCTGATCGACGCCGGAGCTCAGGTGGACGCGACTGGAGACGGAAATAAAGTGAATGGATTGAAAAGAACCGCCCTTCATGAAGCGTCCCTAAGTGGATCCGAAAAAATCATGGAACTTTTGCTGAAGAATGGCGCACAGGTTGATGCAAAGGACTCAAATGTAAGCTTTTTTTTGCAATTAGGGGATTTTTTTGAAATTTTGGGAATTTTGAGAAAAAATTAAAATTGAAATGTATAGTTGACTGATTTTATAGATGAATTTATTTTTTAGAGAGACCTTTTGATATGATCTTTGAGATTTTTGGGATTTTTTGAAATTTGGATGACGGATTTAAAGTGTCAGCATGACGCATTTTTTGGAAATTTTGCAAAAAAGAGTGGATTTGAGGGAAATTTGGATAAAAAAGAGTGAAGGAATGAGCTATACTGTGAAAAAAATGTTTTTGCATGTCATTATGACGCATTTTTTGAAGTGAGGATGCCGAATTTTTTGGAAATTTTTGAATTTTTGCCAAATTTTGGGGAATTTTGAGCGAAAAATAAAAAATTTAAATGTATAGTTGAGTGGAAATGGTAAAATAAAAAAAATTTCCGGGTTGAAGTTTCTAAAATACAAAAAAAAAATCAATTTTTGGAAATTTTTTTAATTTTTTTTTTTTTTTTTTTTTATTGTAAAATATGCTGCGGTTTTTGGAGATGGACAAAGCTACGGGAAGTCAAAAACAGAAGAAATTTTGAGTTAACTGCAAAAAAAATTTTTTGTTACCTAAAATACGGCTAATTTTTACATTTTTAGCTCCAAACACCCCTCCATTTGGCCGCCAGAAACAAACGACTGGAGTCGCTGAAGCTGCTGCTGAAGTGGAATGCGAACAGATCCTTCGAAGACATTGACGGATTCACCCCACTCAACCTGGCCGAACAGCAACTTTTCGACATTGGAGTGAGGGAATTGATCGGCACCGCGGTCTCTTCTCCCGAATCTCTGGACGGAATTTCGACCACCCAGAGCGAGAAGAAACCCTTGAATGGAACAATGAAGAAGCCACAGGTGAGAAATGGGATTGTTGGGATTTTTTTTTTTTTTTTTTTTTATTGGATATTGTTTTAGACCTTTTTTTTGAGGGAAATTTTGCTAATTTGGATTTTTTTTGGGAATTTTTGAGCAAAAAACGGGAAAATAGAACTGAATGCAGGGTGAAATAAATGCTCTGGTTGCTGTAGAAGGACTATTTTTGATTTTTTTTTTGGGTTTTGGACCGTATTTTAGATGATTTTTAAAAATTTTGAAGATTTGAAAAAAATTTTTTTGACTAAAAATGGAGGGAAGAAGGTGATTAGAGGGTAAAAGAAGTCTTGAATTGACTGTTGAATAGGTTTGAAGCAGGTTTTTTGAAGGGTTGGACCTTATTTTAGACCATTTTTTTAGAAATTTTTGATGATTTTTGATGATTTTGGATTTTTTTTTTTTTTTTTTTATTATTTTTGACTAAAAGTTGAGACAAGAAGAGGGTTAGAGATTAAAATACGGAAGATTGTTGTAGGGCAAGACATTTGAAGGGGATTTCTTTGCTATTTTTCGTTGGTTTTGGACCTTATTTTAGGTGATTTTCGAAAATTTTTTATGATTTTGGTCAATTTTTTTGATGATTTTTGGATGAAAATAAGGTTATAAAACAATGTTTGGGGTATGTGGCGTATTTTACAATTTTTAAAAGTGGTTTTTTACCATTTTATTTGAGGTTTTTTGACTTTTTTTCCTTATTTTACCCCAATTTTTTTAAATTTTTCAGGCCAAGAGGAAAACCACGCACCAATCGGACAGCCCCCCTCCGAAACTGGTCCACGTGCCCTCGTCGATGCTCTCCCCGTCCTCGGAGCGCTGCACCCCACCGCAACAGGCCAACCCGTTCCATCAACAGCCCACTTCCTCGCATCACAAGCCGCTGAACTTGTGCCCGCAGGACCTGGGCCAAACCTACTGCGACTACAACCAAAAACTCTTCTACAGCTACCCCTCCACGAACAGCTCCAACTACAGCAGCCAGTCCGACTCGCCGGACAACTCCACGCAGCACCCGCACCTCCATTTCGACCCCTTCATCCCGAAGAAGTCGACCCAAATCGGCCACTTTATGATCTGAAACCCCGTGTCCCACCGACCTGTAAATGCGATGTATAATAGCAAAAGAGTGTCTATGTTTGTCCAAGTTCCATATTGTGTCTTCACTCCCCACTTGCAGGCCCTGTGTCGGGCGCTCCGCCCACTTTTCCATGTAATGACGGGTTTTTTGGAAGGTTTTTGCTAGTTTGTTTTTGTTTTTGAAATTTCACTGGGATAGTGGACGATTTTATAGAGCGATTTATTTTTTAGAGAGAGAATTTGGTATGATCTTTCAGATTTTTGGGATTTTTCAAAATTTGGATGACGGAATTAGAGTGTCAGCATGACGGATTTTTTGGAAATTTGGAAAAAAGAGTGCATTTTGAGGGAAATATGGAGAAAAAAGAGGGCAGGAGTGAGTTATAGTGCAGAAAAAATTGTTTGGCATGTCATCATGACACATTTTTTGAAGTCAGGATGACGGATTTTTTGGAAATTTTGAAAATTTTGGGATTTTAGTTCCTTTCAAAAATCCGTGTTGTCACAGTAAGAAAAACCAAATTTTTAAGTGTTTGCTTGTCCCGAATCCAGGTCATATCAGCGATTTTTGAGCGATTTTTTCCTCGAATTTGAATTTTTTGGTCTATTTTCGTATTTTATCGTTTTTTCTCCGAATAATTGTTGTAGTCGAGTCCCATGGAAGTCGTACTAGTTCCACCGAACAGTTTCCCATCGAAATTTAAGTTATTTCCTATTGTTTTTGGTTACTTTTGTCCAGAAAATGTGTCATGATGACAAAAAATGTGTCATCATGACGCATTTTTTCGCAAATTTTCCGATTTTGTTGTTTGTTGTAGGTCGAGCATACTGTATTCCCCCCATTTTGCTTGTTTTTTGCACAATCTTGTCGGGCGCGGTTCAATTTCCACCAAATTTATATTACCCATGCCATTTGAGCCGTTCCCCCGCCCTATTTCCCCCCGATTTTCTCGGCGTCCCCTATTTGTTTTGATCGCATTTGAAGTTGCATTTGATTTTGTGTACATAAACGGTTGAAATATTGAAATTTTGGAGGATTTTCCACACTTTTTTAGCAATTTTTGACCAAAAATGGCTGGAAATGCCGGAAAAAGCGGGAAATTAGAGGCTTTGGAGGAAATAAAACATGTGGAAAGAGATTTCATAAAGTAAACAGCAGAATAATGGGACAGGAAGCGAAGTGAAAGAGTCTGTGGAGATTTTCGGACCTTATTTTAGGTGGATTTGAAGGGAAATTGGTCATTTTTTGAGGATTTTGGGTGTTTAAAGGGGAAAAAAGGTGTTTATAGGTAAAATATAGCTTCTCAAGCTGTTTTGAGATAACATTTTTTTCTGCCCAGATCGTATTTTACCTTATTTTTGAACTTTTTTAAAAATTTTTTAAATTTTGAAATTTTTGTTTTGCAATTTTTGGGTGAAAATTAGGATTTATTGTGTAAAATACGATCCAGAGAGGCTGATAATAATTATAGAAAAAAATAAATTGAAAATTCGCCATTTGGGACCTTATTTTACCTTATTTTAGATGATTTTCGGAGAAAAATGGTGATTTTTGGGGAATTTCTGGTTTTAAAAAGTGAATAAAATTTATTTGCTGGTAAAATACGGCTTTCACAGTCTTTTGCAACATAATTTTTTGAAGTCCCACTCGTATTTTACCTTATTTTTGAAATTTTTTTGAAATTAAAAAAAAAAATTTTTTGTTTTGAAGGATAAATTGATATTAATTTGCGTAAAATACGACAATGCAAGTATAATAGAAATCTAAAAACAGAATACATTGAAAGATGACCTTTTTTCAGACTTAGATTTACCGTATTTTAGACAATTTTCGGCCAAAAAATGATGATTTTTGGAGGTTTTTCGGGAATAAACATGATTTTTGGAGTAAAACGGGGCTGAAAAAAGCCTAAAGGAGCCAAAAACCCCTCTCAATTACACCTGTCGGCCATTCCATCCGGTTTGTTTCGCGATTTCGAATGTTTACTTTTTCGATTTTGCCTTGTTCGAAAGCGGTTTTTGTCGCATTAAAAGTGAAGCAACTTTCGTTTAAAACGCGCTCGAGCTGTGGAAAGGGGTCTGCCCTAGAAATTGACCCCCACTTTTTTTGTCTTAACTGATGACATATAGGATGCTAAAGAACTTGGTGAATTTTCTTCGAAGAATTCGTCGTCATGACCGAGATATGACGTATTTATTGAATTTCGTTTAATGTGGTATATTGTACTGATTTATCGCCGAAACATCTCAGAACTGTGTGTATATACGTTATTGGCCATGCTGAACAACTTTGTAATTGACCCCAAGTTTGTCAGGTTACTGTAACGTACCGCAACGCCCATGCTCAATCAAAAAATCTCGATTTTCTCGATTTTTTTCAATAATTTTCTCGGATTTTTTTTTATTTTTGGAATCAGCATCAAATTCTGCATCGGATAGGCTATATGCGCATCTCTAGGTAGGTGTACAAAAATGTCGTGGCGCAACCGGTAGAAATGAAATTCAGAAATGAAGAAATGATTTGATTGCTGTTGGGACGCGAGAAAAGAGAGAATTAGTTTCGAAAATTGGGTAAAAAGTGTTGTTGTTTTGTGAGTTTCAAAATTTTAATCGCTCTCTGAACCACTGTGTAAAAAATATTTGAAAAACATGTCATGATGACGAATTTATCACAAATTTACTGAGTCGGTGTACAACGCCCGTACTTTTGCAATCAGGACGCTGAAACCTTTCGAAAATATGTTTTAAACAATACTCGTCGTTTTACTTGTTGATACAATTTGGTCAGGATTACTGTAACATGGTGAATTTGGAACTGTTCACATCAAGAATTACAAAAAATTGACATTTTGTCTATCTTTATTTTTCGACCAGTCAAATAAAAAAAAATTTTTTTTGCCAATCGGTTTTCTTCGACCGGTCGATTTTCAATTTTTGACCAGTCGATTTTTGTTTTGTTTTCTCGATTAAAAAAATTGATTTTTCGACCGGTCGATTTTCAATTTTCGACCAGTCAGTTTTTATTTTTCGACCAGGCAATTAAAAAATTTTTTCGACCGGTCGATTTTCAATTTTAAGCCGGTCAATTTTTATTTCTGGGCCAGTCAAATAAAAAAAATTTTTCGACCAGTCGATTTTCATTTTTTTACTACAAATAGCATGTTAAAATTTTTCGACCAGTCGAAAAAAAATTTCATCATCCGAAATTGCACTTCCCATTGAAGAAACTCCCTAAAACCCCCATTGACCTCTCAAAAACCGCACTCAACTACTTGTAAACCCATCATTTTTTGTTTCATGTCAACTCCTTGTCAAGCAGACATCAATGACTAAAACCTGTGCTGTTGTTTTCGCATTTCCCGAATCAGCCGAACCCTCTCTTTTTCCCATCTGACTTTCACTTTTTTCGGCCCGTGAACAAGGTCTTTTTTCGATCTCTCTCAACTCTCAGCTGGAGCTTCTCTCTTTTCCCCCCGTTTTCCGGACCATATATCTAGGGTTTGTGGATGCCGTATGGCAATTAAACAGACCGATCTGATCTGGAGAGATATTTTTTTGAGATCTTGGCGATATAGAGTGGAAAAATTGGAGGGTTTTTGAGGGGTTTGGAGAGAGAAAAGACGATCGAAGAAAGTGTGCCGGAGGGGGATTTTGTGATAAGAGGGGGTTTTATTTTCAATTTTAAGGTTTTTTTTACTTCATCTTGATCTTGTTGCGTCCAATTCGGCTAGAAAATAACCTCGTCCCGATTTTTCGGGTCGACAACAGTTCGGGTCAACGCAAAATCGGTACTAGGCGGGCCAAAAAGTCTTGACATTTTTTTGCACCGTGCGGACGCATGAATTAGGGGTTGCGACAAGGTGTCGCGCGATAAAAAGTTTGGCGGGGTGCGAATGAAGAGCGCACTGTGCGTTGTTTACCCTTTTCAAAACAATCTTTTTGCACTGTGCGGGGTCGCAGCGCACCGTGAATTTTTCTTATCGCAGCGCGACAAGTTTCATGCACGACGGCGCACTGTGCAAAAATGTCAAGACTTTTGGACCCGCCTAGTATATACCCAAATATTATAAAAGGTTGTAGAAAGTGCCTACGAGGCCTGGCAAAGCCGTTGGGTATTCGGCGGACACTCGGCGAAGGCTCGGCGGAGACTTGGCGAAGACTTGCAATATGTTCACCTTTTCGAATTTTAGCTATTACTAACGTTAGTTTTCTCTTTCCCGAGTTATTCTAACATGCACCCGAACTATCGCTGACCGAAAACGTCGTAGCGCCAAAATAGCATAAGGGGACGCACGCCAAGTGCGATGAATGATTTCTGCAAAGCGCAAGCCCGAAATCTAGCAATGATTTTAAATGATTTTAAATTTTTGCCAAGTTTCATCAAAATCTGAGCGTCGCACTTGGGCTACTCCTTTTTTAACATATTTTCCAAGAAATATGGGAGACTCACAATTCGCGTTTTATAGAAATATTTGATTTTCCGAGGCTTCTCTGCACTCTCATTTCCCCAAAAAAAACAATAGTTTCAGAGTCCCTCAAACTGCCGTTCAATCGCAAACCGTCGGCGGCGACACTGCCCGTGAAGCAGAATGGAAGTGGTCGGCCCAAAAAACGTCGAGGTAATAAGTATTTTCATAAAGTGTATGGACATTCGTTCTCTTTCGTACAGTGCATTTTGAACTTTTTCCCACGTTTGTCGCCAACGCACAGTGCTTTTTCAAATTTTTTTGCACGGTGCAAACCGAAAAATATTAGCATTTTCATAAAGTGCCTGGACTTGTTTTCGCTTTCGCACAGTGCATCTTGAACCTTTGTCGCCAACGCACTGTGAAATTTCCCGTTTGCGCACCGTGCAAACCTCAAAAAAGCCGATTGCACTGTGCACATTCTCGCGGAGGCGCAGTTGAGAAAAGCTTACGTCGCAGCGATATTTCAAATGCACAGTGCAAAACCAAAGAAAGGTCAATGCACGGTGCAAAAAATCGCGGGCGTTTGTGCACA